TATTAAAATTTATATCTTACACACACGATGGGAGCACACTTATGGAATGGGTAAACCCTGTGTGTATATATATATATATATATGAACTGGGTGGTTACACTTTTGATTAAAAAAAAAAAAAATTATTCTACATTTTGTTATCGCCATATGCCAGACAAGCCTGTTGTTTTGTTATTGCCATAGGCCAGACAAGCCTGTTGTTTTGCCAAAAAAATATTGAGATCAAAACTTCTAAAATTTCAATAATTCCAAATTGGGTTTGGCGGTTCAGTCCAAGATCGGACTGGATCGTGCTGTTGGATTCATGGGAATTTACCACGGGTCCTGTTTTGATAATTCGAATCGTTAATATGTTGAAATCATCAAGTACTATATACTTATAAAAAATCACGTTGATCGGATATCGATAGGTATGTGATCAAATAGTTTTTTGTCAACCGTTAATTTATTCACTGTCTATTTTTTTTTTTATACAAAACTAATTTGATCACATAGCTATCGATATCCGATCAATGTGACTTTTATAAATGTATAGTACTCGACGAGTTCTACACATTAAACGGTTTAAATTATCAAAATAGGACCCGTGGTGGACCTCCACGGACCTAACAACACGGTTCAGTCTGATCTTGGACTGGACCAAAGCCAAACCCTTCAAAATTTATCTGTCATAATAAAGTTTGAAGTATGGAGGTAAACCCAAATATAAAAGAGAGAAGTTGTCTATGTGGTTGATAGAAATCCAGCTCTAAAAAAAATTCAAACTAGTTATATTCATCATCAGTGACTTTGACAAATTTCCCTAATTAATATATTGAGCTACACCTATATGAATATTTTTTAATGTCTCTAGTATTTTTAAAGTGGTAAGGTCATGACCAAGTGGTGGTAATCGTAGAATAATCGGGACATAAGATAAGAACAGACCTCCGATACAGAGGAACTGGAGCTCTGATTATCCATAAGAAATTGAGTAATTGAGGGGTCAAAAAGGAATGACAAAACAAGAGAGGAAATAAAAATCGGATAGTTATTGTCAGAGAGAATTATGGTTCAGTATGAGTTGGCAAAACATATTATTGGATAACAATAATATTAGGAATACATAAATTATATTTGTTTGGCTCTTTAGATAGGAAAATTAGATTAATAATTTGTGAGACCCACCTAAAGAGTGTTTGGTTGGAAACATGAGTGAGGAGATTAACTATCTACTTAAACTAGTAATTCTCACATTGGCAAGGCTATCAATCCCATGGGAGGGTGGGATTATAAACTAAGGGGATTGTTGTATTTTTAAATAATTTTTAAGCAAAATATATATTTTTTAGAACAAAAAAAGTAATTATAATATTAAAAAATGCTAAAAATTAAAAAATATTAATTTTTTATATTAATACTATCTATAGTATTATTAATTCGGTAATATACAAATAAACATCCTTTATTTTACATGTCTAACATATAACACTACACTAAGCTTCGTTTGGGATGTGGTTTGGCCTTTTTGTTATTTTAGCTTGGGGCTAAAAAGTCTCGTTTGGAATGAACTTTTTGACTTTTTAATTTTTGTGAGAAAAAAATAAAATGATTATAGTTTAGATGTGATATTTTTTAGCTTGGAATTAAAAAATATATTTTATCTATTTGTAATTATTTTAGTCCCAACACACCCCAATCCATCATGCATTACACTAAGCTTCGTTTGGGATGTGGTTTGGCCTTTTTGTTATTTTAGCTTGGGGTTAAAAAATTTCGTTTGGAATGAACTTTTTGACTTTTTAATTTTTGTGAGAAAAAAATAAAATGATTATAGTTTAGATGTGATATTTTTTAGCTTGGAATTAAAAAATATATTTTATCTATTTGTAATTATTTTAGTCCCAACACACCCCAATCCATCATGTCAAACCAATATTAATAATCTCATCACTCAATCTTATCGTATTTTTAATGCCTTTCATCCTATAAAATCAAACAAAATGTGGCCATATAGACTCTCATAAAAGATAAGTATCACTATGAGTCGTACATCATATGAGTCATAGATATATGTATCTATTTTGTATTTGGATCCTCCATGTGCTTAGGTCCTATTTGTTTCACTAGATATAAAAATAACGGATATAATATGATATGAGATTTAGTCAAGATATATAATAAATATGATGTATGTATTGGATAATATATCTCCAAATTCATATTTGTTGACTTGATATATAAGATTGAATATGTATTATCTATGTTTGTTTTACAAAATATAATGTGGGATATAAATAAGTAATTTCTAAGATTGCCCTCATAATATATTTTAAATACCCATATTGGAACTAATGCAAATAAACAAATTAAAAATTCATATTATTTTTTATTAGAACAAATTAAATATTCATATTAAATTCAATAATTTTTTCAAACAAAAAATAAATTATATTATATTAATATCAAAAATTCAGAACTAATGCAAATAAACAAATTAAAAATTCATATTATTTTTTATTAGAACAAATTAAATATTCATATTAAATTCAATAATTTTTCCAAACAAAAAATAAATTATATTATATTTGACATGGATAGACCCACGAGGCATACAGACATGGATAGGCCCACGAGGTATACAGCCCACGGCAAACCGCCCCAAACCCATCGCCTCGGATCCATAGCATAACTTGATTGGCAAAGCCCAGGACAGCTGGAGTCCACCTGGACGTGGAGGGCCAAGGGCATTCGAACACATGACAGATGAGACACAGGCCACATCAGCAGACAAAGATCTGCAGAGTTATTGCCACAACACATCACCATTAATGCAGCCCATCACAGCATTTATTACGACAACACTCCCCCGTCGGAACAGAGCCCCCTCACCCTGAACAAGGTAAGCTACGGCACAGGCTTTCGGCGAAAAGGGGGCACGTCACAAAGGACAGTGAAATGATTACCAAAGGATATAAGCAACAAGAGAAGCACAAGAATAAGGTTAAGCTTTTCATCTCTCATTCTCCTTCACTACATTTTCCTATTTTTCTTCTACTAATTCTCTCGCCAGAGGGTTCACTGGGGAACTGCCCCGTTCCCCTTTGGACTTGTTTGCAGGTCACTTGACGGAATCTCCACCCGAAACCGGAACTTGAAGAACCTGGGCTAGCCTGACCCATCCACCCGGGACGGACTGTATCATCAGTGGCGCCGTCTGTGGGAACTTAGTGGTTTATCCGTGCGCTAGTTGTGTTCACTACCGCCGGAGCCCTCCCTTCTCACCATCACCTTTCCCTCTTATTTAATGTAAAATCTTATGAATATTATTTCAGAGTTTCAAATCCTATTTAAATAAAAATGTGTTCTATAAAGTCTCTTGAGTTGTAAATGAATAATATTAATGCACTATTATACGCTAATTTGTTTCCATATTGTACCTTATTTTATCATTTATCATATCACGTTTGGGAAGGCTTTTAAGAAAGACAAATCTACTGACAACAGCCCTATGAGTTTTTCACCTTGATCACGAGATTCTAATGCATTTTCAAAATGTTGCTTAAATGGATGTGGATATGATTGATGATATAATGAAGTTTGAGGGTTGTGTGTTGATTCCTTCTATAGATTTTGACTCTAATTAGTTGATGAGAAGAGTTTTTGTGTGTGTGTGTGTGTGTGTTGAAGTATGTTGCTATTTGTTGAAGTGTGGATTGTTCATCTTTAATAAGGCATTGACAATCTATTGCATTCATTGATAGACACACTTTGACCAATGTTCTGGTTGAATGTGTGTATTTAACTTTGTGATGATTGATGCGTTTTGATATATTCGATGTGTGGGGTGGTGTGTATGGGTTCAATGGTTGGATTAGGGATATTCGGTTTTGGTTGTTAATTGGATGTAGAATGTGAACCACATTGTAGGATGACAATTGTACATTGGAACTTAGATGATCGTGTTACGATGTATGTTACATTTATTGTGTAACATTAATCTACATACACCATGTAGTAGATGACATTTGTGTGGTTGTTCGGTTGTATATGTGTTTGAATATGTATCGTGTCTTTATTGTAATCAGTGTTTATATACATATCACAGTACGTTGCGCAAAATTATTGGGAATTTGGATTTGTAATTGAATGTGGATTAAATCCCATTACTCGATATTGAAGTTACGCTGAGTTGGGACTGATGGTGGTTCAATACATGGGTTGGGTTAGAATGTTACATGTTACATTTAGGAGATTATATTATTCATAATTCAACGATAGAGTATTGAAATGTTACATTGGGTTTGTGATAAAAAAACATATGAGAATGTCACGTTAGGTTTGGGAATGTCACATTGTTTTGTGATGTTACATGTTACATTTATATTTTGAATTTTAAATTTTTAACCATATAGATATGATCACAATCTATAGTAACATTGGATTTTCCATATATGGTATTACCATTAATCAAGTTATTTTGAATTTCATAGGCATATGAGAATGTCACATTGGGTTTGGGATGCTAAATGGTACATTTACGTTTTGAATTTTAAATTTCCAACCATATAGATATGATCACAATCTATGGTAACATTAGATTTTTCATATATGGTATTGCCATTAATTACATTATTTTGAATTTCAAATTTCTAACCATATAAATATGGTCACAATCTATGGTAACATTAAATTTTTCATATATGATATTACCATTAATTAGGTTATTTTGAATTTCAAATTTCTAACCATATATAACATTGGATTTCTCACATATGGTATTATCATTAATCAAGTTATTAATTAATTAAGATTATGAATAAATGTATCTATAAAAAAATCACAAGACCTATTAAATTGTAAATTTTTTCATAGAGCCATATCTTATAAATCTTCCAAATAAAATTTATAAATAATTTACCCTTTTTACTTGTTACCAATCTTATTTTATATTCACATGTCATTTATGTAATTTGCTTTCTTCAAGAAACCACACTTTCCATTATAAAATGGGCTACCACAGCCACCATCTCTACCACTTCCATTCACTTGAATCATTTCCAAACTTGAACAAAGCTAACAACAATGGATGCTGTTAAAATTACAGGAGATAAGTACAGATCTTTTTTGCATGATGAAGAAACTCAGAAGAACACTCATTGGAGACATGGTGGCCCTCCCACCTATGATATTGTCAATCAGCTCTTTGAACAAGGCCGAACCAAGGTATTCTCTTCATTATTGTCTCTTCTCTCTCTCCCTCTCTCTCTCTAACTTGATTGGTTTGTAGGAATGGCCAAAAGGATCACTGGAAGAGACAGTTCAGAATGCTATAAAGTCCTGGGAAATGGAAGTCTCTCACAAGACTCGCATAAAGGACTTGAAGACCGTAAACCCTGAGAAATTCAAGCTCATCGTTAATGGTAAAGCTAATAAAAAAGCCACAGTTGTTCAATCTCTTCTTCTTTAATTTTTCTGTTGAATTTAATTAAATCACGTTAAGTAATCCTTGTGTATACATGATGGGTTTTCAAGTATCAGCCAATACGGACCAATATGTGTATTGAACTTTTGTCCTTTTGATACTGATATACCCAATTTATTGATTGGGATGAAAATTACATGTATATCGGTTGATTCGCACTGATATGAACGGTTCACAGTCGACATACCCGATTCCGTTGCTATAAATATCTTTTTTGCAATGGATGATTTTAAATAACTAACGATTGTTACACTTGATGCCCGATACATATGTCTACATAGTCTCCATGCCATTATACTGCAACATATACCGACGATTAGAACTATTTTTTGGGTGAATAGACAATTAGAACTATGGTATAGTATACAACTCGGGATTAAACAACCCTTATCTAAAAAATGTATTGACTTTGTCTAAAGTTGTGGATTCTATAGATCAATAATGAGTTATGTTTTGTATCAACAAAACCGGACTCAAAGGCAAGGGTGTCACATGAAATCACACCATGTAGATCAAGGGAAAAGGGTTTATCATCAATCCGCCAATTGCTAAATTTAAGTGTAAAATTGATATAATTAAAAAAATAAATTTAGGATTTGACTCTTATAACAAAATGAATTTTTTATTTTTAATTTTGTTAATTTAAATCATAATCTTTTGATTTATTTTTAATCTAAACCATCAATATATTTTCATTAAGTAAAATTGATGAAAAAAAAAATTTAACCATTAAACTCAATGTAATTGTACATAACTGTCTAAAATAATCTAATCAAATAGTCTCTACTACTGCAATATAGATTTGTGGCAACTCATGGAATATTACCATTATTACTAATATTTAGATATCATGAGATAGTAACATGATTAAATTCAATTAATTTTTCAAATGGAATATGCATATTATAACTTGATATGTGCAAAATAGTAATATATAGAATTTTTTTTTAATATAAATTTAACAGGAAGAGAGGGATTATCAGCAGAAGAAGTTGTGAGGCTTGGGACCTACAATGCATTGTTAAAGAATGATCTACCGGAAGTGTTTAAGTATTACAAAGCAGAGGAAGAGAGCTTTGAATCGTCGCATGATGTTTTTTTATCTGCTTTTCCTCGTGGGTTTGCTTGGGAGGTGATAAGTGTTCATTCTGGACCACCCCTGATTGCTTTCAAGTTCAGGCATTGGGGCTTCTTTGAGGGTCCTTACAAAGGTCATGCTCCTACTGGTGAGATGGTTGAGTTCTGTGGAATGGGACTTCTCAAGGTACTCCTCTCTCTCTCTCTCTCAAAAACAATAAATTATCTAATAAATTGGGCCTATAATGACCAACTTGTTCTCTCCTAAAAAAATGACAAATTGTCCAATAAATTTGACCTACGATGATCAGTTTATCCCTAGTTAAGATGATCGCGTGTCCCCTATTTTATTAGGTGGGCATATATATGGTCATGAAGTAGGCTAGACTTACAGATAACTTCTCCTTCAAAATTAAAAGAGCAGTGTTGAAAGAAATTACATACTTTTTAATCCAAAATGATATGGCAACTTTTAGATCTTATCTATCTATTAATTTTACCATATAGAGCCAACCTTTTAGTTCGTGCATATGAGTATTTGATAAAATTGTCAAATCTAACTCATTTAAAAACAAAAATTCTAGTTACTTTAAGGGTAAAGTAGCAACAGATTCTAATAATTTGATTTAATTTTTATTAAGTCCTATTGAAAGTTAGTCATAGTAAAATTATCGTCAAAAATAATTTTTTGTAACAATTTTTTTGCATATCGCTAAAAATTAATAATTAGTGACTTTTTTTGTCATGATTTTTATAAATTGTCACTAAAATTTACAATTAGTGACGTTTTTCTGTGACAAATTTTTAAAATTGTCACTGAAAGTTGAAAATTAGTGACAATTTTTTGTAACGATTTTTTTAAATTGTCACTAAAACTTATAGTTAGTGACATTTTTTCTGACAAAAATTTTAAATTATCGTTGAAAATTAACAATCAGTGACTTTTTTAATAGTATTTGATAACAAATGTCATTAATTATCACAAGAGTTATTGAATAATAAATCCACCTATTAGGGCTTAGAAGTTAATAATACCCCTTACTTTAAAAACAAACTCATTAATGTCATTTTTCTTTTGAAGATTGCTACCACTTTATACTGACATAAAGTTTTGTATAAATTTCTTGTTTGTAAATCATTTTCCAAATCAAAAACCAGTAAAGTACTTATCACACAATAAATGGTGATTATCCTTAAAAAAAAAAAGAATTATGCACTCATGTTTTATATGGAGTGCTACTTTCGGGTGTTGCTAAGTACACTCATAAAAAATTTGCACTAAACACCTTTTTATTATGACAACCAACTTGTTTATCGCGATTGTTAAATACACACAGGTTGAAATGTGACTCAATTATTAGGCCACTTAAATTGTTGCTTAAAGTCTATAGGAAAATTTTAAATAAATCCTATTATTGAAAGTCCCAACTTTTCAAAAATTTAGTTAAATAAGACCTCATATTGAAATTTAGTCTAAGGATTCCAGAAATCCTGAGCCACTATTACAAACTCATCATAGAATTTCAAGTCTGACTAGTTTGACACAATTGAGAAAATTTATAAAAAAAATACATCTAGACACTCGCTAAGACAATGAGGATCTCTATTTAAAGGAGGTCAATCATACTTTAAATTAAATTCATTACACTGTTTAATAATAATAAGAAGAAAAATGTTTAATAACTCAAATTGAACTATCCCAAATGGCTTGAATCACTATTCACCGGTCGATCGGTCGGACTACTGGATGAAACACTTGTTTGTCGCGATAGTCACTTTATACCGCAACTGTCTGTCTTTTTACCGGACGACCAGATAGATGATTGGCAAGATAAAATTCAAAACATTCGGACCAAGCTCAAATTCGAGTTATGCAGCAGAGCTCTAATAAAAATGTGTGTTCCATATCCTCATTTTATGTTACCTCTCTATGCAGGTTGATGAATCTCTAAAGGCAGAATATGTTGAACTTTACTTTGATCCAGGGGAGTTGTTTAGTGGGCTACTCAAGGGACCCGCAACTTCTGAATCTCAACCCGAGCAACTCGAATCATCTACTCGCTGCCCGTTTCAAAAATAAATTGACATGTTTGTTGCAGTTTATTTTTATTTTTTTTTAATATTTTGAAAATTTGTACTAGACTATTTGTTGTCACTTCTCTTTACAACTGATGTTTTAATAAATAATTTAAATAAATACTGAAAAGATTGATAATTTAAAATATGATAAATTACAAATACACCTCCTGAGGTTTGTTTAAAATACGAATTGTCCCCTGTAATTTGAAAAATTACAAATACCTTCCTGTCAGAATTTTTTATTTAATAGAATTAATTGAAAGAGTGAAATTTCTAACTGTTCACCGATACAATAATAAAATTATTTGAATTATTAATTGAAATAAAATTTAACATTATTAAAAACTGTTAATTAACTTGATGATTTATTAATAAAGAGATCTATTGGTTATGAAATTAGAAACCTGAGGGACATAATATAACTTTTAGAATCACAGAGAGTAATTTGTAATTTAAGTAAATATCAAGGGATGTGTTTGTAATTTACCCTTTAAAAAAAGTTGCAAATATGTTTGGGGTAATATTTCATAATCTGTATAAAAAAATAAAAAATAAAAAAATTTAAACCTGTCTGGTAAAAAAAGTGGACACATCACTTTTTTTTTTTTTTTATACCAATAGGTCCTATTTTTGAAATTTATTACCCATTAAGTCTCATTGATAAATTTATCATGTGATAAACTTATCAGCCTCTCTTATTTTTATGAATAAAATGATAAATTTAATAGTTTGAACCTATAAGTAAATAAGTTTAATTAATAAGACTGATTAGTAAGTGTCCCTTGGTAATTTACCAACAAAAAAAATCAATCAGTCCTATTAAATAGACTTGTTTATGTATAGGTCCTGATTGATAAATTTATTATTGTAAATTTATTTATAAAAATAAGGAAGACTAATAAATTTATCAATAAGATTTAATGGACAATAAGTCCTAAAAATACAACATATTGATAATTTACCTTTTTTTGAATTTTTATTTTTGTTGTGCAAATAAGCCGGGCTTAAAAATTATAATTAACATAAAAAAGATGTATCTTCTTCTCCATGCGTATTCAAAGGTTTCAAATAAGTTAAAAAAGCTATAAATTATAATTTATGAAAATCTCATTTTTTGGGTCAAAAGAAACTGAAAAGGTTAAATAAATTAAAATAAAACCAAATCCTATTAATTAACTACTTTTTTAATTAGTATAATGACTCATTAACTGAATTTGAGCTCATTTGAATTACGCCACCTATAAGTCCTCTCGAACGATCAACGCCACCTCGTCAATCATAACTATCACTCTTGTCGATCGATGTATCAACTGGCATTCACCCGAATGGTCGGCATCCTATGGAATGATTAGCTAGACAACTACCTGAACAACTGATATGCACCAATCCAGATAATTTGGACAAATTCAAATTCAATAGATATAATAGATTTAACAATGCTCTTTTAATTAAATAATTGAATAAATTAATTTATAAGTACTATCAAAACCGTCGGAATCAACATTTAGCAGAAAAAGATTTATATGAGATTTGCTTGTGTTTTTATTTAACATATTTGACCCAACTAATAAGAAATTTAAGGGTTAATTACGCAAAAAAAAAAAAATGTTTAAATTTTATGTGTTTTTTATTTTAAACACTAGTGTTTTAATTTTGACACATCTCCTTTTAGAGTTCCATCCGTATTTCAATTTATCCCCTCCGTCCATCCCCGTCTGTATAAGGTAACAGAGAGGGTTTAAAGTGAAAAATACTGAGGTTTAAAGTGAAAAATATGTGAAACCTTAAAATTTATTTTGTAATTAACCCTTTCATTTTTAGTGATTTTAATTTAAAAAAAATGGTTAATTATACAAAAAAAAAAAAAAAAGAGTTCATGCATTTTTCATTTTAAATTTTAGTATTTTTCACTTTAAACCCCCTCAGTTACCTTACATGGACGGAGGGAGTAAATTAAAATACAAATAGAATTTTAAAGTTTAATTTATCAAAATTAAAATATTAGGATTTAAATTAAAAAATACATAAAATCTTAAAGTTTTTTTTTTAATTAACCTTGAAATTTAACTTCGGAATATGCCCCAAATATACCATCGTCATTTTTATCCAATTCTTGCAAGAAACAAATATTGGAATACTATAAAATTACAATAAATAAATATAATTTGTGATAGAATAAAATGGATCAAAGAAATCCCACTTTTTATTATTTATTTTTAAAGAGATTCAATCCTTCTGCAACTAGTAAAATTTAAAAAATGTAATACATATTAGGTTCTCTTATAGTGTGCATTCTTTTAGGGTGCATATCATATATACCCCTTTCACAATTTTATAACATTAATTACAAAATACATAACACTGTTACAAATTAATGTATTAAAATATCTAAAATTTTATGATTAATATTACAAAAGTTTGTAAATTGATTGTGATATTTTTTATTACGTCAATTTATAATAAAATTATTTATTTTATAATTGATATTTTTATAATAAAAATACACATTTTATAATAGGATGCATACTGAATGCACCCTAAAGTAATATTTTCCTACATATTATGCTCTCTCCTTTGGCTACTAACTTATTTATATGTACTCATTTTTTTAATATTTTTCTAACAAAATATTACTGCTGTCAATTTATTAATGAGTTTTGCTATATCTTCTCGTTTCATTACTTACAATTACATTTTTAACAAGATAGAGAATAATTTTAAAAATAAAAAAAAGAATTTAAAAAAATTAATTGATTGGTATTATTTGCTATCTAATTAAAGATGAGATTGAGAGTAACAAGATGGGTGAATGAAACATTTTACATTTTTCGTATCAATCCATTATTCATAGTTGTTGAATGATTCAAATCATTAATTGGAAGATAGGTGTGGAGCCTAATATTGGGCCCACTCCGTAGCTCTCTCGTATTTTTTAATTTTTTATTAAAAAAAATATGTAGAAAAGTAAGAAGCGTGAGTAAAAAATAAGGAGAAGATATTGATAGATTTTAATTGATGTGACCCAAATAAGTATATTCATATTAAAAAAATGTATTTTTTTAATACATGCTAAACACCTACCAAGGGATTGTTTGTAAAGTGTTAAATTAATATATTTTTTAATTTTTTTATGAAAAAACATAAAATATGAATTAAACTTTGAAATGATATGATATAAAGATGATATAATTTAAATAAAATGATTGTGATACAAATAGAATGATGTGCTAAAATAACATATCTTTTATTATAACACATGTCAAACAAACATTAAGGTCAAGTTTGGCATGTCTTAAAAAAGACAAAAAGTCAAAAAGTCACTATCTTATTTAAGTTACATTATCTTGTTTAAGTCACATCACCTCTCTTACACATCACTTCAAACCCAACTCAAACTCAACTCATATTTTATAAAAAGTCAAAAAATAAACTTATTTAAATCATTCCAAACAACCCTTAAAAATTGAATGATTCAAATCATTCATTGGAAGAGAGATGTGGAGCCCAATACTGAGCCCCACTCCCAAGCTGCTCCCTGGTGTACTGAATTAAAATGTTGAATGATTCAAATTACTAATTCGAAGAGAGGTATCGAACCCGTCGCTGAGCCCCACTCCCAAGCTCACTGGTGGACTGAATTAAATGGTTGAGTCAGGAGAAGTTAAACATATTGTTGATGAGGTCCACCTTGTCTCGTATTGGACTGGATCATTCAGTCAGTCCGTAGGCTTATTTTTGAATTTTTTTTAATAATTTAAATAATTTAATATATAAAATTTGTTGAGTATTAATTTTTATAAAAAATTACGTTGATCAGATATAGATAGTAATTTAATCGGATCAGATTTCTGTTAACTGTTTATGTTTTTATCGTTCATTTTTTTTATACAAAATTGATCTGATCGAATAGCTATCGATATCTAATCAAATAGTTATCGATATCCGATCAACTGATTTTTTACAAGGATATAGTACTTGACAAGTTCTATATATTGACGGTTCAGATTATCGAAATGGGATCCAAAAATGAACTCATGAGCCGAACTGGACGGTCCAATCTTGATTACCAACTAGAGACAAGCTGGACCGTATTAATAATGATATAATAATTATATTTATAAATTATAATGTATTTATAAAATGTTAATAAATCTCAAATAATGACATTATGAATTATTTTATCTTTTATTTTATTTTATTTATGGATCCAAAGGTTTTATTCCTATGTGAATTACGTTAATGGTCAAGTATAAACGTGAGTGTGTTATGTGTCGAAGGACAGATATGAATTTGTTCATAATATTGAAATTACTAAATGTAACACTTCAAAAAAAAATAAAAAAATTAGTGTACTTTTTCCAAACATAACACTCTAATGTAACACACTAAAAACCTCTTTAGTGTACCTTTTCTACCGTAAGACTCTAATTAACACACTAAAAAAATTCTTAGTGTATATTTTTCAAATGTAATAACTTAAACATTCCAAAAAAATTCCTTAATGTGTTTTTTCTAAACGTCACACTCTAATTAATTTAACATAGAAAAACTCATTAGTATACTTTTCTCAAACGTAACAACGTAACATTTCAAAAAAACACATCCTTAGTGTATTTTTTACAAACGTAACACTCTAACTAACTTAACACACACAAAAAATTTATTAGTGTACTTTTTCCAAACATAACACTCTAATATAATGGCCTAGTTTGGTAGAGCTGTGGGAAAGTGATTATAGCTTATACCTTAAAAACTTATAGCTTATAATTGTGAATATAAACTAATTTCTAATTTATAAATTAAACTTCTCCTCCCCCACTCAAAGAATAAGTTGATTTTTGACTCACAAAAAGCTATAAGCTGTATTGTTAAGCTGAACCAAACACATTAAAACAACTTAAATTAAGTTAAAAGCTGAAATAAGCTGAAAATAAACTGTACCAAACAGGGCTAATACTCCAATGTAATATCAAAAAATCACATTAACATAAATGTAGATTTTACTCTGAACAACCAACCCTTTAGCCACTAATCCCCATAAAAAGACCCTTTCACAACTCACCTTTCTACTCTCATCCCAAAAATGAATCAGAAAATGGGAAAAATGAATCATAAAAGGGCATTCACACTCAAATGACATCAAATCAATTAA